CTCTTTCACCATATTGTCCGCGCTGCGCCCGCCAGCACATGGTCACGCGGTCGCGAGCGGATGAGTTCTCGCTGCTCACTGATGGCTCTAGAGAGAGACCTTCACCGGAACCCCGCGCAAACCCATTGACGTAACGGCGCACGTGACTCGGAAGATGGTGAAGGAGTTGAGAGGTGCCGAAAACCTCAAACTTGTACATTTTTAAAATAAAAACTATGACATTCGGGCAAAAGCGTTTTTTTTTTGTTCTTTACGAGGTCGAGACACCAACTCCCAAATTATTTAAGCAAAGCACTGACACTGTTGCACAGCTCCTTTAAGATATCATGGTCTACGTTTAAAGGGACAATGAAGGCAATTTCGGACATCTTTTTGGCGATTGAACTGGGTTCCAGGCACGTCTCATGTCACGCTGCCCAAATTTCAGCCGAAACCGGCGCTTCTATGCCGCGCAAATCAATTAAACAGTCGCGGTAATAATCGTACCGGGATCGACTGGAGCGACGCCCCGAGAGTTGCGGGAGAAGCCAGGAGAAGCGGAGCTCACGTGATCGATTCGGGGCCAAGAAGCGCGACGTCACAAGAGACGCGTCAGCGATTGGTCGAAACGAGAAACGTGCCCTCAGTCACGTTTTGGTTCGCGATTTTTTAGGAATACTGTTCTACTTTCCGCTTGAATAACCATGAAAAGTATAAATCGGACCGAAAATGATTGCTAAACCGCAAATAAAGCAGCATAATTGTTTTTTGCTTTGCTACGCTGGACGCGAAGCGGGCTACGAACAACTATGGGCAAACAAAATAAAATAAAAAAGAACACGGTACTGGAAAGATTCTACAAAATGGTAGCTGTAGCTGACTGTTCCAACGGTCGACTGAAGACCAGTATTCGTTCGGGCGACGCTAGTTTTGTGTTCTTTGACGACGAAAAGAGGACGTCGGCGGAGGAACCGGATCCCGGAACGGCCGGATCGCTGCCGCTTTCCCCTCAGCGTCTCCCCCGCGTCCGTCCTTCGGCATGCGGGCCGCTGGTTGCCGGCTGGGCGGTCTCCGTCGGGTGATGGCAGAGGACGCCACACACGTACTCCCGTTCCGTTGGTGTTCGGTAACTGAACGGAAGCTCGAACTTGCTCGCGAAAGCGGCATTGCCGTCGATGGTGACAGATTCGGCGAAACGACCGCCCCACCGCGCTGCTATAACCCACCGCGGTAACCAGAGTCTCGATCTCCTAAATGCTACCGATACCGACTATTCACACTTGACGTCACTCCCTACGTCACCTCCGTTTTCGGAGGCCCAGAAACGAGAACGGAGATTCTTCAGTTTCGGTTTCTTTACTTCTTTCGTAGGCACAAAAATACGCGTCACAAATGTCTACAAAAAATTGGGCAGCATGCTATGTTCCCAAGAAGCATAAAAACACCATTTAAAAAACTTAAATAAAATCGTCTTCATTGTCCCTTTAACTGGTCAAGTTTTAGTAACAAGCGCTTATGAGGTACTTCGCCAAATGCTTTTGAAAAATAAAAAAAGAAATGGCGTCAGTTTGTATGTTAGAGTCGAGATTAATCTGCAGTCCATCAAGGAAGAGGGCTGATTGGAGTTTCGCAAGAAAAATTCTTTACAAAATCCATACTGCGAAGAATGGAAGTAGTTGATCGAGCCCAGAAAATGCATGACTTGAGAGAAAATGACGTGTTCCATGATTTCGCAAGGCACGCTCGTATGAGAGATAGGGCGGTAGTTTAATGGGGATTCTTTATTACGTGATTTGTGGGCGGGAACGACCTTTCCAACCTTCCAGTCTTCCGGTATGTTACCTGTTGAAAGTGACTGAGAAAATGACAAGCACAATTATGCTGCAGAGATGTGCTAAGTATTTTTTAGAAATTTGAAATTGATTTCGTCTACGCTGGCTGAGGATGACAGTTCCATATTATCGATTACCGACGCAATACCATCAGCAAGCAAAGTGACGAGAGACATTGGACACTCGGTGTTAGTAGGGAACATCGTGAATGAGAAATCTTTGCCAATGATAAAGCCGGCGCTCTTTAACTTACGGCCGTTCGAAAGAATAGCCGCCTTAGTTTTAGAAAACCTTAGTTTCACGATTAATGGGCAACAGCGTCCGTTTGTGTGATGGCCGAGACGGCGAGCTCGCTCTATATCTCTAGGTTCAAGGGTCACATGGAGGCGATCAGTGCATAACTTAATTACTCTTTCTTGGGACTGGACTCAAGTCTTATGTTAGACGGGATCAGGAACACCGTAAAATAATAAATTATTTCTTCGTGAATGATTTTTAGCATCGTCCATTCGGGCGTTCATCTCGAAGGCCATATGAGCTGTTTGAGTGGTATCAGCGCGTGCCATCTTGAGATCAAATCGCAAGGTTTCAATTTTTTGTTTGTTTTGGTAATTAATTTTTAGTTCTATTATTCGCTCATTTAGATTCGCTATATTTTTTTCCGTGGTTTGCAGTAGGGTTTTGAGGTGTTGTACCTCGGAAATTATCTGAGCTTGCCCGACAGACAGCTTTTTAATTCAGGAAGTACAGCTTCGGTAGGCCCCGGGTTAGTCTTTACGTCGCCGGACAACAACACCACCAACAAGAAATGCATGGCTTCAACACACTCAACGGCAATAGAAACACAACACTACGGGCTCGGCAGCTGTATGAAAAAGTAATCACTTGATATTTTAGAAGAAATAGCATACGGTTTACTAATCTGCATAGCGAAAGCGAGTGGATTAGTTGACTGTGTCGCAGCACAGCCACCGAGGCCAGAGCCGTTTATCGAGAGAGTTTGGCCATACATTGGTTTGAATAGGCGAGCATCTCTGGGCCAACCACAGGCCGCGAAACAGCCCCTAGCGGTGGTCGTGAGCTCTAAATTTGTGACACGACTAATTCAAGCCGTTTTAGCGTCGCTAGAGTTGAAAGGTGTAACTCTCAGTGACTGAAAACTTTGTGCGTGCGAGGTTTTCGTCACGCCAATATTCAAGTGAAGAATAAACGAACGTGCGCTCCAAACCAGGGCCAACTTGCTAGAAACAGCGTCTCAGCTGAGACGGTGAAAGAAAGCACTGCCAAAGCCAGCGCACGAGCCGAACGGGACTCCGCGTCTTCAGACGCTCGCGCGCCCCACCCTTTGCACTGTTTTCTTTTCACCAGTCACAGGACGCTGTTCTAACAAGCCAACATAAGCAGTGCAGAGAGAAGCATCGGCACGAGCGCGTGGCTTTGGAAAGTGGCTCCTACGCACGAGTTCTCGTACAAACAAAAGCGTTTTGCTGAGCTAGGCTCATGCGCCTGTATCTTTGTCTTCACTGCAGACATTTGTGAGATGGAGCAGAGAGGCCGAGATTGGACGCCTCTTTTTCACGCTTTGAATGTCGTTTGCAATATAGTGACGTCGCGGTCTCCTGACTGGTCGACGCTGTGTCACAAATTTAGTTTACGGTCTAAGCGCGGGGGGAATATTCGGCGCTGGCGGCGGCCTTTGCTCCGCCTATTGGCCAAACTCTCCCAATACACGGCTCTGACCGAGGCCACAGAAACACGCGGGAAGCTGTCGTAGCTTTATAGTTGACATGGCTGGGCCCGTCGATGATGATGGCGCTCTTTGTGCTGGGTCGAGGGCAGACATATACATTTTATCCCAAAAAAGTAAGTAAATAAATACCGGTACTCGTTACTCACTGAAAAAGCAACAATATGCGTTACTCGTTACCTATTCTCGAAAGGAACGCGTGATTTACCTCAAAAGTAACGAGTTACTTTTCACGTTACTTTGACGACCAAATACACAACTGTGTTTGTTTCATAGTTTATTGTTTTCTTTTTAGTAGTCGTTTTACTTAAGCAGTAGCTGCCTCTCAAAAGTTTCATCAGTTATGCTTTCCCGCTTGCTTGAAAATACATCTCCGGCGACGCTGAAGAGTCGTTCTACCGACGCGCTCGAAGGAACGGCAGTGTTGTGCTTCAGCAAGAGCTGGTGGATCTGGGATTTCCCTGTCTCTTTGTGTTTTCTTTACTTCTAAAGTTTGAAGTTGATAATGAGTTATGGGCCTTCCCGCGTTGGCAACCACCGGGTTTACATTTGGTCCGTACTCGGCTCTAGAAGGTTCAACCAACGAACCTCATTGCGTTCGCTGGGTGAAGGCCATTCCCAGCTGTAGAGTTCAGTACAGCATCGTTTATCGCTGGACGCGTCAGTCGAACTGTTCGACTGACGTGTTCAGCGATATAGGTTGCTGTACTGTCATACTGTTTAGTTGTTTTTCGGGCTTGACCCCTATCGTTCTCGCAATTGACGCATACCCAGGTTAGAATTAAAAGGAGTCTGTTAAGCGGTGTTGTACAGGTTACTCCTCAAAAGTAACGATATACCGTTACTCATTACTTGGCCTTAAATGTAGCCAAATACGTTACTCGTTACAGAAAATAGTAACTAGGTAGACGTAACTCGTTACTTGTAACGCGTGCCGTACATGGCTGGTCGTAGGTGTAGTTTCCGTTCGAAAGAGTTGACACAGGTTTCGTCACGCAGTGGGAGGACAGATGACAGTCACCGGTATCGCGGCCATAGCACGTAGGCACAGACTCTGAGGTGACCCTCGAGAAGGCGAACGGTAGGGGAGGAACCAGCGCACAAGTAATGACGGAGGAAAACACCGGCATAGCGAAAGCGATTGGATTAGTTAACTGTGTCGCAACACAGTCACCGAGCCCACCATATATGTATGCATTTTAATTACATTTTAACTACTACAGAACACGCTTAAGAGTAAAGGATTAAGAGGAAGTTTTGTTTTGAAATCTGCATGGGGTAAATCCGAGGTGAAACCAAAGCACGTCCGCAACTTTTTTTATAATTTTTATTGCAAATTTACGTTCCCGTGGTTGAATATGAAGACAGCTCGCCGTCCACCGCCAGGGTTATTTTTGTATATAAAAGAAGGCAAGCGCGCCGAAAGCAGACGCGCACTACCAGACATCAGCCAAGAGCCTCCAAAGAGATCAACCTATTGAAAACCATGAAGACTCTGGTAAGAGGCACCAGTTTTGTATAGGCAGCTTTCTAACTTACATACGGTGTTTTAAACTTATTTATTTATTGATCGACCAGTTTTTTTTTAAATTTTTGAACGACACGTTTTCAGATACATGTAAAAACATGTCGTTTTCACATGTGTGTGTATGTGTATGCGTGCGCGTCGACCATCTCATATACTGAATGGGAAATTCAGTATAGAAGATTTAGAAAGATACTGAATTACAACGTAGACTTGCCACTTCAATTTATTATTTACATTTTAATTTAAAAGGTTCTAAATACTCTAATTGGCGAACAATGATCCTAAAGTCGGCGTAAAAATACACACGCCATGTCGCAATTTATAGACATTGAGAGCCTCAAACGCCGTATTCAATTTCGGCTCTTACTTTTATGTGAGGGACTAAACTATGAACGTTCTTATATCTCGTACTTACTTAGGATGATAGTTTAGATATTCCTTCAAAAGCATTTCATATAAAAATTGCTATTTGTTTGCTTATAGCAATAAGGAACCATCTACTATTTTCTTTTAGACATGATGGGAGACCGCGGGAATAAATCTAACAAAACACAATCCGCTCTCACAAGCAGCATAAAAAAATAGAATGAGATCAATCTTAATCCTCCCGTTTTCCGTGAGTGGACGATGGCATAGAATCTTTTCAGTATAAAAAATGTAGAGCATTTCATTGCGAAGCAACATACAAAATTGTTGAAACCAAATCACTTCCTTCAGTTTTTTTTTTTTTTTTTTAAGTTTATGATAGACAAGATACATTTCTTATGAGATATAGTAAGGATTCCGTTTTTGTGAGTTTATTTCTCGTGAAAGTAGGAGGTTGTTTTCGGAATTTATTTTCAGCTCGAATGTCTGGGCTTATCGGAGTTTATTTTTGTTAGTTTTTAAATTCTCTAAAATTCAGAGTTTAATTTTTATTTTGTAAAAACTACAATGAAAACTAAAGTCCGGACATAAACGTACCTTACATTTCTCAGAACTAACCTTTATCGAATGCTATTCAGTCAGCTGCATTTGGCATTGGCGCATTGCTATCGCCAATGCTAACTATCATACGACAAATATTGCAAAAAATGTTGCTTCAATAACAGTCAATACTTTGAAATGACCAAACTCCCGGACGTAATCGCTGGGAAGTATGGAAGCTTCAGCTGCACTGTCCCTCTATTGAAATATACGGGTTCATAGCTATCCCTGTTCGAAAAAGACTACCCCTCGTTCTTCTAAGGACCACACAAATAGTGTGGCCCAGACTAGAAACCTAAATAATGGCTTTGGTCGTAATCAAGACAACGACCGCCGACGAGCTAAGAGGTAAACACATTTTGGTCAGTGGTCCGAGACTGCAAAGTAAATTAACACGGCCCTTTTAGGAGCAGTGACTTTGTGATTTTATAAAATGTATTTGTAAAATACCGCCTTTTTTATTTTAACATTTTGGTCGTGAACTCATATTTCGGAGGTTTTCTTAACGACAATTTTACTGCGAGTGTTTTTCGGATTTTATCGGATTTATCCGATAACGTAACACGGAACCTTAGTTATAGAAAAACGCATGAATAATTTACTCTTGAATATTGTCGCGCGTCGACCATCTCATCAGAGAGTTCAAAACCTAAAAGGGAAAAGTTCACATAAAAACATACGGTATGAAGTGGGATCTGCTGGGTCGTGTGCACGCGGACCTTTTAACGTGTATTGATGACCATTCGCTAAAGTGCTAGCTGGTGATTATCAATGTTGCACACGTTCCTCAAAAACGGGAATAAAATCACGTTTCTCGTTCCTTCTCAATCATGGAACGGGTTCCAGTTACAAGTTCCGAGAGTTCCCAAGGAACACGCTACCGTCACATTTCTAAGATTGGAACGTGTTGTTAAATGAACGGTACATTTGCTTATTTAAATAAAATGTTGTGCTGAATAATTCATAGATAAAATAAATCAATCAAGTTAAAATATTCACATCGAACTACGTGTAGAGTCACCACTGTAACATTTGTTCCCGTTTTTTAGGGGCGAAGCTCCTTAGGGCTAGCCATGTCCGTATGTTCGTCCGATGTCCGGCGTCGGGTGCTCGTGCTCACGAGCACGTGAGCACGTGCTCCCGTGCTCGTGTAGGGCAAAAAAAAAAAAAAAAAAAAAAAAAAAACAACCGCATCTCCACGTGGTGAATCATGTTGATTGGGGCGAAGCTCTGGTGGTGCTTGTCTGCGCAGACGGTGAGCCGCCGCATGCCGAGCCTTTCGTTCGTTTACATCCGTGTCAGAAAGAGAATGTGTGGTATGGAACGTAGTTATATACGCATTTGAGCATTTGACCGCAGCGTGACATGGATGAAAACGAACGAAAGGCTCGGGATGCTGCGGCTCAGCGTCTACGCAGACAAGCACCACCAGAGCTTCGCCCCAATCAACATCATTCACAACGTGGAGATGAGGTTTTGTTTTCGACAATCCAACGGACGATCCTAAAAGGCCTAAATGCCCAATGAAGTAAGGCAAATTTGCAGTTCAATATATAAATAAATGAGAAACGCCGTTCCTCCTGCCGTTTCCTCGAAAACGTCACGATCAAGTTCTCGTTCCAGTTCCACCGATACAAGATGGAATGGCGGCGTTTGTCCTAAGAGGAACGCGTTCCGGGAACGCGGTTTCGTACACAACTGGTGCATTTTTAGATACACAATAAAGTAGCTCAAAGAAGACAGGGAAGGAAACTGAAGAGTGCAGGTGTCCCTTGTGTCTATTCTCTTGTCTGTGTCCATTCTGCGCTATTTCATTTGTACCTCATTGTTAATTATTCGTGTCTCTACGGCGTGAATATTGACACGAAATAAAGGCTATTTCACATGCTACAATTCTCGTCCGAAATCGGTGCGATTTCAAGTAAATGTACGATTAAAATCGCAGTCGCACTGTCGCAGGAACTCTGCGACTGGTTTCCACCAAGTTGGTATTTTGTCGCAGAGTCGGTGCGATCGCTTACTCGTCAACCAGCCGTTCATTAGCCAGCTTTCATGCGCGAAAGCTGCGTATTCAAAAATAAATCTAGACACCTAAATCTCTTGGTTTAACGCTTAATTATTAGAAATTTCTAGTTACATATTGAATTCGTAAAACATTTGTGTTTATTTAGACTTTTTTGTTGTATTTTAGGCAAATACAAACGCCTCTCGTCCGTGTCCGAAGAGCTGGCCGCGCCGACAAAAATCGCGCGGTTGCTGGAGCATGTGAAACCAAACATTGCGATCGCACTCGCAGCGTCGGCTGTCGCGCCGATTGTTTTTTTCCGCACAGTCGCTCCATGTGAAACAGGGCTAAGGTGAAGAGGCGGTAAGTAATGAACTGAAAAGAAAGGTTTAATCGGCGGGCTTGTGCTAAACAAAATAAAGAAGGAGCGTCGAGACAGCAAAAAAGCGGGCCGTGATTTGGCGGCGTAACAGGAAGCGAGAGCGAGACTGACTGTACAAGGTCACGGGAAGCTCCTTATCCAGTGTGTGTCGGCATCGCGAAAATATGGCCCAGAAGGTTCGAGCACCAGGCGTTCGGGTTGAGAATGAACAGGCACTTTCGAGAACAAGAAACTAGTACGAAATGATAAAAGTTATGCCCCGAGTAAAAAGAAACGCGAGTCTTCTAGAATTTCGTGATTGAGCGCTACTTGTTCGGCCCTGCGCGCAACAATATTCGCCCGAAGATTTTTTTTAATCGTATATGAAAACAAATAACGGCCACTATATGCAAATATCTAGACTTTAATATCGGTTTAAAAACGTCGCGTTGCAACTTGTGTAACTCATCATGGAATTCGCTTGCAGCTTCCTCTGACTATCCTCATCATGGCTGTTACTGGCGCCCTTGCGGGCGTGCTCGGAGGCCACGGATACCAAGGACGCTACGAGGCTACCAAGGATACCGAGGCTACGGCGGTTAGGGCGGCTAGGGCAGCTAGGGCGGCTACGGCGGCTACAGCGGCCACGGCGGCCACGGCGGCTACGGCGGCAACGGCGGCTACGGCGGCTACGGCGGCCACAGCGGCTACGGCGGCTACGGCGGCTACGGCGGCTACGGCGGCTAGGGCGGCTAGGGCGGCTAGAGCGGCTACGGCGGCCACGGCGGCCACGGCGGCTACGGCGGCTACGGCGGCTACGCCGGCTACGGCGGCTACGGCGGCTAGGGCGGCTAGGGCGGCTAGAGCAGCTACGGCGGCAACGGCGGCCACGGCTGCTACGCCGGCGACGGCGGCTACGCCGGCTACGGCGGCAACGGCGGCAAGGGCGGCTAGGGCGGGTAGAGCGGCTACGGCGGCCACGGCGGCCACGGCAGCTACGGCGGCTACGGCGGCAACGGCGGCTACGCCAGCTAGGGCGGCTAGGGCGGCTAGAGCGGCTACGGCGGCTACTGCGGCCACAGCGGCCACGGCGGCTACACCGGCCACGGCGGCTACGGCGGCCAGGGCAGCTAGGGCGGGTAGAGCGGCTACGGCGGCCACGGCGGCCACGGCAGCCACGGCGGCTACGGCGGCAACGGCGGCTACGCCAGCTAGGGCGGCTAGGGCGGCTAGAGCGGCTACAGCGGCTACTGCGGCCACAGCGGCCACGGCGGCTACACCGGCCACGGCGGCTACGGCGGCCAGGGCGGCTAGGGCGGCTACGGCTGCCACGGCTGCCACGGCGGCTACAGCGGCTACGCCCGCCACGGCGGCTACGGCGGCTGGGTAGCAGGCGGCTACGGCGGCTACGGGCTCGGATAAAGAAGCAGTCTGAGCCATGGAGGACTGTACAACGGTACGGCGGGCTCGGATCCCACGGCGGACACGGAAGCTTCCAGGGTTCAAATCCAGATTAATACGCCTGAATAAATAACGTTTCCGTTTCTGACAATGCTTTTGATCTCATTTTACTCGCCACACTCTATACTTCGTTTCACCTTATGTCCGAGCGCGGACGATGGTGTGAGCCAAAGACCAATCAAACAGCGCGAAAAGCTAGCGTCATAGCGTACTCTCTGCGCTTGATAGGACTAGCCGGCGGAGGAGGACGCACAGATAGAGACGGCGAATACCGGCTGGTCAATTCAACTGCCGAGAGCACGCCATGACGTTGTCCCTCTTTGGCTGTTTGATTGGCCCTTCGGCTCTTAATATCGGCCGCGCTCGGACCAAAGCTGAAACGAAGTATAAGAAAAAATGGATGAAAAAAGTAGCAACGGCGCGTCTTCCTCCCTTCTACTGACGCGCTCCCAAGCGGACACGAGAAAAGGGGAGAACCGAAATGTTTTTCTCCTTCTCCAGGCAGACGGGAGAAAGCTTTCGCCCTCCCGACTCATCTTTTTTCGGTTTCGTTTTTCGAGCAGGTCGCGCACGTTGTTTAATAAATAGCTGTTGAGTCGATTGAGCTTCAGCGGCAGCGAAGGCCGCCTGTAATTCCGTCTTCTAGTCTAAACGTGCAGAACATTTCGGTTGCATTGACGTTTTTATCACTAATTTTATCAAACGAGCAAACGAAGCCGCTAGAAACAGCCAAGTTCCGGAGCAGTGCCAGCAGTGCCATAGAGTAACATAGTAAGCGAAAAGAGTGGCCACTCGAGCCGATTCGCGGCCCAAGAGCTAGGGACTACGACGACCGTTCAGTGGCACTGCAGTCACACACTTAATTTAGACATTTATCATATTTTCACCCTTGATAAATAACTCTACTCTCTAACCTAACATTTCGAAATTAATAGCAGCTCCGAATTCCTTTAAAAACAATTTGAACAGCTGCGGCTTTGGCTGCGGCTCAGTGTATGGCTTTGGGGCCGTCGACTCGGCGGACGGCGGCTTTCCGGTCACGTCACGCGAAAGGTCGGTTGGGCTGCGCCTGAAACGCTCACGCGGGTTTCTCGTCATTCTTCTATTATTAGAAAGGTAAGTCGTTGTACTGACATCGTATTTTGCTTGCTTTTGGCTATTGGCGATGTGAGCGATCGAAAGCGTCGCTGTGGTCGGCCCACCACAATTGGCCGAATGCTGACTATGACGTCAGGAAAGGATGTTTCATCGACGGAAATGAGAGAAATGTAAGAACTTCAATTTTGACGGTGTTGGCGGTATTGCTTTAAGAGCGCTATGATTTCAGGCTTCCACCTTGCCCATTACACACACCACCGAACTTGTTGTTCACAAGGTAATGACGTCACGAAAGGTAACCAAACGAGGGCGCCACCGAAACATCTCGCCGCTAATATACTAGTTTCGTCTCACCTTAGTATGAACTAACCGCGAATGCTGTGCTAGCGCGAGCGGCTAGCCTTGACTGCCTTGACTGGAGCACTCGCTGCACGAGCGCTCGTGCAAGCGCCGAGGCTTCGTTCGAAGCAACTATCTCGCGCTTTTAGCACGCGCGGCTACTGACGTGAGACGAAGTATAGTTGTACGCACGGGCTAAAGCGCGAGCTAATTGCTCTGGATGAAGCCTTGGCAGTCGCACGTGCGCGCGTGCGCTCGTGCAGCGAGAGCGCCAGTCAAGGCACTGAATGCATACTCAATTTCATACCTTATTTGCATCGCTGTCAATGCTGGTGGCGCGAGCGCACGGCTTTCGCGCCAGCAGCTTTGACAGCGTTGAAATCGTTGTACCTGGCGCCAGGTATGAAGCAGGGTACAGGTGGCCTTCATGCGCGCTTTGCTTAGGGCGAGGCCATCCTAAGCAAAGCGCGCTCACAGGGAAAATACAAAGAAATGGGGTGTGACAATACTGTGAGGGCTTTTCTTTACCACCACTCTTTATTGTCGCTTCAATAATTTTGGTTTCCAAACTGATATGAAATGAAGGCACTAAATTCGCGAAATCTCAAATTGACTTGTGCTATTTTCGTTTCCCAGCTGATGCCGCCAGGATGTTTGGCTACGACAGCCAGGGTATCGGAACAAAACGAAAACCAAAAACGAAAAACGAAAAAAACGATATTTTTTGGCGGAACGGAAACGTAATCGAAACGTTATTTATTATTTTGTTCCGGAGTGAAACCGAAAAATTTTCTTATCGGTTTTCGGTTCAAGGGAAAATATCAGGTATTTCAGTAATTCGTTTCACGCAGCAAAGAGACTGCCGTTGGTTTGTACCATAATTAAAGAGAAGACAAGCAAGCCATCGCCCCCGCGTCTAAACTCCGGGCGAACAAGCATAGCAAAAACAAAGACAAAAAATACAACGAGAAACAAAAAACATGACGCAAGGCGCCATTGCTTCCCACCAATGAGAGCGCGGTGACGCGACGCCTCCACACGCTCGCAATGCTCTCCTTGGCTCTTGCGCCCTCTCCCTCCATGCTTTCTTCGGACGACACAGACAGACAACAGATCACGGCAAGCGCGGGACGTTTGTGACCCGGCGTTGTAGAAGTCCATCTTGTTTTTCTACGGATACGGCAGTCTGAGACTCTGTTGCAAAAGTGTACTTCTTCATCCCTATGGGCCTCAGGGCCTTTTCGGCGCTGAAATTTATTTTATCGGACCAGAGGTCCTGCCTTTCACCGAGCACACTTGATGACGTGCTGCTTCTGAGATCATGCTCGGTGCCTTGATCATGATCTCATTCTCAAGGCAATGAACATGATCTCAGAAGCATTGTCGTTTCCGCGGATTCCTCTGGAGCGCCTGAATTATCTATTTTTGTGTAAAAATAAACGTTACGTTCCTTTTAATTTTTGTTGCGATTTTTTTTTTATAGAAAGAAACCGTTACGAACCGTTACGGAGCATTATTTTTTCGTTCCGGAGCGGAAACGGAACGGAACTTTTTTGTATGGAACGAAAATGAAAACGGAACGAAAAACATTTCGTTCCAACACCCTGACGACAGCTACTGTTGCGTAGTCTGGTGCGGAAACAATGGAAGAACGCGCAAGAAGCCAGGAACAAAGTTCTTCCGAGTTCCACGAGACAACAGGTTGTTGGTGATTTTAATTTTTGCACTCCAGAATCTCGTGCACGGTTTTTAAAAATGGTTTGCAGGATTCGATTGTGCTGGCATGTCCGTTTCGTAAATAGAAACTTGGGTAAAGTTCGCTTTCATTCTCGCGTATTTGGTGTACAGCTTGAAAAGGTCAGTGGGTAGAACTTCATTCTGGTGATGTGTTTCAACCTTTATGTTGCATTTCATAAGATATCTGGAAGGTAAAATTAATTTTATTGGGATTTTATTGGGCCCGTGCAGACTGCATATTAGCTATTTGTTGGGATTATTTGCAGCAAGTAGATTGCACTCTACTCCTCTACTGGTCTATTGAAGTGACTGCTTTTTTAGATTGTCATGTCTGTTTTTTTTCCTATTATGGTCTTGTGGAATGTGTAAGTTCCCATTTTGATCTTTGTTAATACTCTCTTAGGTCACTCATCTTGAATGCAACTTCCTTTTCTTTTGGACATTGTTTCTGCTTTACACATATGTGAAGCTTGAAATAGATTGAGATCAGGCTGTCTACCAACCTGGCAAGCCTGAAATTCTCAGGCAAATTCGGATCACCTAGAAAAGTCAGGGAATTATCAGGGAAACTGTCAAAAAGGTTGGCTAAATCAGGGAAAGTGACCAGTGAAAGTGGCACGGTGGTTCGGAACGAAGCCCGGCGATCAGGTGTCGCCACGGCACTGCTGAATAGCATTGCCCAAAATGTCATCCTTCGAAGGAAGGAACTGCCAGGGAATTTTATCGAAATAGTCAAGAAAAAGCTGGAAAAATCGTGGACTTTGAAAGAAGTCATTTGGCAGACACCCTGTAAGATGCACTTAATTAGGCAGTGCATATTGCATGCCAAGCCTTGGTGGAATCATTTGTGATGAGTGGGTCGCAGGTACACCGGGCACTAGTCTGCTTGTAGCAGTCTTTTGTCAGCCATTTCATGTGTGCTTTTTATGGTAGTGGTCATGTTAAAACGTACATGTTAAATGTGACATGTTAAGCGTTACATGAACGTAAAACCTGTATTAGTCCGTCGATTGGCTTTCAGTTCTTAATATTTTGGTCATTATTGTTACTTAAATCAGCAGGAGCAAGGTATGTTTAATTGTGCAGTGCAGGCTGTGTTAGGTTTATTTAATGACGACGTCACAAACTAAGTAGGTCTATACTAGTGACAATCTCGTTTGGGCATTTACTTGTCAGTTTTTTCTCATTGTGGTCATCGTGCATCTCAGAATTGTTCTGCTGAACTTTTTATTTGCATACCAATTGCATTGGATAAAGGAGCTTTGATACTGCATGGCCAGTTTTTTTTTAGTATTTGTTGCTGATGCTGCATATATGTGTGCGTGCGCCTTGCATGGAGCTTGCTTGACAATACAAAATAGGCTTTCAATCCAACTGCAGTTGTAATTCCAGTCGTTTGATAAGATTTTCATGCATGCCATAATATGCTTGTCATATTTTTGTAGGATGTCCTGTTTGTGAATCCTCGATACAAGGTGTTTGTGTTTTGTAGTTTTTGTAAATATAGACGAGGCACAAACTGTCCATCATATTTTTGTTGCGAAAATAAACTTCGTTGATTACTTCCTGGTGGTGGTGTTCTGGGCAGCACTAACCTACATGAATTTCCTGGCTTGTAAAGTCAGTTTTAACTGTATATAGTATTGTCCATTAGTTGTCCGCATTAGAATTCACACATAAGTGTGAAGTAATTTAAGCTGAAATTCGGCATGCGAGAGTAGCAGGAAAAACATAGCTCCCGACAAACCAGATGGCGCAGGCTACCGCCCAACACACTACGCCAAACTAGATATCTATCCATCCGGTAATTTTTTTTTAATTGTGACTCAATTCATTTAGTTGGGGAGTGCGACGGCCCTTGGGTGCGCTCCCTGCCAGCTAAATGGGCCGCTGGGGCCTATGGAAGTGTCCGCTCTT